TATATGAACAAACCAAAACTGAATTAAAAATGTTCAAAAAGAGGTCCGGTACAGAAATATTCAATCATAACAGAGCTTTCTTCCCCAATATATATTTATTCTTTTACCACGTTTCCTCTTTTAATTGTCTTTTTTTCGCATTTTTCTTACTAGTGTTGTAACTTTTATTTGTTTTAATGTATAACATATGTACAAGTATATATTAGTTCCCTTAGATCCTATGAGGAGCAATGGGTCACATATGAACAAATATACGTGAGTTAAGCTAAGTACTGTTCGCTTGCATAACTTTAGTGAAGAAGTTTATATAGTATTTCATTCAGATTATGTTTAATAAGGCAATTAAATAATAAAATATGTAATAAAATATAATTATAAAAAATAAAATATTATAAATAATACTTTAGGTAGATGATGTTAAAGGACTAAAAAACTAATATTATAAAAATCGTTACATACTACTGATTTATAGTGAAAATCTTATAGAAATCTCTGTCAGACCATTAAACATTAAAGGAGCTGATAAGGTGTGAAAGTATGAGATTCTTTTCTCGTATATTTTTATTATATAATATGCAAGTATATACTAAGCATAACTGAATATGAAATCAAATATAAATCACAAAACTAAAAAATCTCATCTTTTACCTATTCAGAATTATTCAAAATTTTTTAAAATATTTTTTTTTGTGGTACTGTTACTAAGCCCAAGTTATTGCAATATATCTTATAGATTGCGGTTTCGCTTGTAATGATAATAATAAAAATGTACTTAAGATTATTTTCCTAGATACAAAAATTCTGATATGCAAAATTTAACGACTTTTGCATAAAAATTAATGAACATAGATACTTGTATATTGTACCTAACTATAAGACTCTCTATGAAGACAATACTCAAAATTGACTTGATGTTTTGCATTTTGAGAAGTTGTAAATTTGAGTCCAACAATAGGTTTGAATCCAAAAACCAGTGAATAAAAGTGAAAGAAAAACGTGAAAATATTTTGTATGCGTGAAATATTTTATGCATTTTTAAATAAAAAATTAAAATTTCAGAACGGATATCTAGAACTCTATGCCGACCGATATCGATCAATTTCGAGAAAATTAAATTTCAGTGCGTAAAATTCATTAATAAAAACTTAAAAAATTACAAATATACGTGGTTTGCTTCGTTAATAATTTTACTACTCAAAAGAAGAAATACTTGAATCAGATTCAAAAAAAAAAATTCAAAAAAAAATAAATAAAATAAAAATAAAAATAAAAATATTTACAGAGAAAAGATCAGAATCAATGCGACAATTCTCCAATTTGTTGTTAAAAATAAACATTTTTTTCAGTAATTTTTTAATATTTTATTTTTTAATAGTTTTCTAAGCCTTAAAAAATTTTGACAAGAAAACAATCAAACAGTTGTCGCAACAATGGTTCCGCCTCTGCTCCATAAACCAGACGTATCTGCAACCGAAATCCATCCACAGCTGTATTTGTATCTGTATCTGTGGCAATCGACTGTTAACACTTCTAACTGAATTCTCTAGCAGCTTTTGTAATTGCTTTTTTATGTAATTTTTATTGTTGAAAATACTTCAAAAAAAAAAAAAATATATATATATATAATTTTTTTTTCGTAATTATTTATTATTACTTAATGTTTTGATTAACGACAATTGATTTTCAACGACTTAAAGTGCTGAAGGCTCTCGTTTTCTATTCATCTATCTCTAAGCATATTTAAATGCTGTTGTTAAATAAAAATCGATTTTTATGCAGCACTGATTTTGAATCTTTGAATCTTGTTACTCTCATAGCGTATTCCCCCCTTACACCTACAATAAATTATTTTCATAGATATTTTTAAATAACTAAGCAGCTTTTGATATGAAATTACTATATTTAGCAAAGCTGCTCTTATTCACCGTCATGCGTTCCTTTTAGCAATATCCGGGCGATATTTTTTCTTGCATAATTGACTTAGAATTGCTGTCATTATACTATCAGTTATTATACTATTTCTTTCATTATAGAGTAATGAACGTATAATTTTTACTATGATTATTACTAGATACTGCACTTTTGATTCATAACTAAATCTTGAACCTTATTCGAATGATCATTGATCAATTAAAATTGAGGCTAACACTTGGTATGTGATCTAGTTTTTGCATATATGGCGGGTAAAATATTTTAATGTCGTATTATCTTTAAAATACATAGCATAGTAAATAATATAAAATTTAACAAAATACATATCATTTATTTTTTAAGGTTTTTTATGCAAAGAATATTTTATTTTTCATGTTATTAAAAAATATTATTTTACTCAGTTAACAAGAATAAAATTGCTGCAAAACTTCAACGCCTTTCAGATTTAAATTACACTTAAATTAAGTAATTAATTTAATATCATCATTATTAATAATAGAATAACTCTTTAATAAATTTTTTTTACAATTCTTTTCTCTAAGATTCAGGGTTTTGACATTTATTTCGATACATTTTAATATTTCTGGTGTCAAATAATTTTCTAGCTCCCCACTTTTTTTTCTTCTGTATTTTAAATGCGTCTAGGATGTTTTATACTTTTAACTTACTATATTTTATCTAGGCTTGTTTTTGGTTTTCCTAACACACTCAACAATATCTCCAGCATTAACATTAGCTAGACCATCGCCTTTACAAATCCTTCTGGGTAGTTCTAGCTTCAACGTCTTTTGCTTATTATTACGAGATTTTGTGGATTCAAGTTAATTAAGAAGAACTCGTTCCTCCCTCCACTTCAACGAATTAAATTCTGTCTAATTATATTCTCAGGACTTAATTTACTGAATGAAAAAGTACTTTAAAAAAACCCTAAGTCCAGCAATCCAAATAAACTTTTAGTAGTACCAACGCAGTCCCACATTTTCAGTCTTCACACAGCTTCATATAAGAAATTAAACTAATCCACATAATATATGTATAACAAATAGAACCATAAAGCAATTATAAAATAATAAAACCCTAAGAATGGAAAACTTCTAAGCAGAAATTTAGAATGAAAATGACCAAACACCCCCACAAATTCTTTATGATCTCTTCAGTAATATATGGAATTCTAAACAATATCTAACAACTACAAGAACTATAGTAAATCGTTTAATATAATCATTTTAAATTGACCACATAAATACTCTACGAATCATAACTGAGCAATGCGGTGAGTAAAACCCATCTTTATCACTGAATGCTTTGCTAAAACGTGGATGGTATTGATTTACAATGCTATCTAGCTAACTGTAGAAGCGAAAAGACAAAACTTATTAACACCCAATTTAGGGACTGTACATAATACGTTAAATATAGAAGCCAAACACGCAAACTTTTAAAAGCCAAATTGTGAAATAGGGTATATACACTCCTAT